GACCCCCTGCTGAGCAGGGAGCCCGATGTGGGACTTGATCCCGGGACTCCAGGATCATGACCTGAGCCGAAGGCAGTCGCTTAACCAACTGAGCCACCCAGGCACCCTAGAAGAGAAATAATTAAGATTAGAGCAGAGATCAATGGATTAGAAACCAGAAACACAGTAGATTAGATCAATAAAACTAGAAGCTGGTTCTTTGAAAGAGTAAGATTGGTCAACCACTGGGCAGACTTATCCAAAAGAGAAAGAGAAAGGACCCAAATTAATAAAATTATGAATGAAAGGAGAGAGATCACAATGAACACCAAGGAAATAGAAGCAATTATTAAAAAAATTATTATCAACAACTATATGCCAATAAATTAAGCAACCTGGAAGAAATGGATGCCTTCCTGGAAACCCATAAACTGCCAAGACTGAAACAGGAAGAAACTGACAACCTGAATAAGCCAATAACCAGTAACGAGATTGAAGCAGTGATCAAAAACCTCCCAAAGAACAGGAGTCCAGGGCCTCATGGATTCCCTGGGGAATTCTACCAAACATTCAAAGAAGAAAAACCTATCCTCCTGAAGCTGTTTTTAAAAAAATAGAAACAGAAGGAAAGCCTCCAGACTCATTCTATGAAGCCAGCATTACCTTAATCCCCAAACCAGGCAAAGACCCCATCAAAAAGGAGAATTTCAGACCGACATCCCTGATGAATATGGATTCCAAAATTCCCCTCAAAATCCTAGCTAATAGGATCCAACAATACATTAAAAGGATCTCCAGTGGGATGTATCTCTGGGATGCAAGGATGGTTCAACATTTGCAAATCAATCAATGTGATAGAAAACATTAATAAGAAGAGAAAGAAGAACCATATGGTCCTCTCAATTGATGCAGAAAAAGCATTTGACAAAATACAGCATCCTTTCCTGATTAAAACTCTTCAGAGTATAGGGATAGAAGGAACATTCTTCAAGTTCATAAAATCCATCTATGAAACACCCACAGCAAATATCATCCTCAATGGTGAAAGGATGAGAGCCTTTCCCTTAAGATCAGGAACACATCAAGGATGCCCACTCTCACTACTCTTGTTCAACAGAGTACTAGAAGTCCTGGTAACAGCGATCAGACAACAAAATGCCTTAGAAAGTATTCAAATTGGCAAGGAAGAAGTCAAACTCTCTCTTTTCACAGATGACATGATATTTTATGTGGAAAATCCAAAAGACTCCACCCCCAAATTACTAGAACTCTTACAGCAATTCAGTAATGTGGCAGGATACAAAATCAATGCAATGCACAGAAATCAGTTGCTTTCTTATACACCAACAATGCAACTGTAGAAAGAGAAATTAGAGAATCAATTCCATTTACAAGAGCACCAAAAACCATAAGATACCTTGGAATAAACCTAACCAAAGAGGTAAAGGATCTATACTCTAGGAACTACAGAACACTCATGAAAGAAATTGAAGAAGACACAAAAAGATGGAAAAATATTCCATGCTCATGGATCAGAAGAATAAACATTGTTAAAATGTCTATGCTACCCAAAGCAATCCATACCTTCAATGCCATCCTGATCAAAATTCCAATGACATTTTTCAAAGTGCTGGAACAAACAATCCTAAAATTTGTATGGGACCAGAAAAGACCCCAAATCGTCAAGGGAATGATGAAAAAGAAAAACAAAGCTGGGGGCATCACGTTGCCTGACTTCAAGCTGTATTACAAAGCTGTGATCACAAAGATGGCATGGTATTTGCAGAAAAACAGACACATAGATGAATGGAACAGAATAGAGACTCCAGAAATGGACCCTCAACTCTATGGTCAACTAATCTTTGACAAATCAGGGGAAAATAGCCAATGGAAAAAAGACAGTCTCTTCAATAAGTGGTGCTGGGAAAATTGGACAGCTACATATACAAGAATGAAACTGGACCATTCCCTTACACCATACACAAAGATAAACTCAAAATGAATGAATGACCTCAATGTGAGACAGGAATCCATCAAAATCCTAGAGGAGAACATAGGCAGTAACCTCTTTGACATCGGCCACAGCAACTTCTTTCAACATACATCTCTAAAGGCAAGTGAAACAAAAGCGAAATGAACACTTGGGACTTCATCAAGATAAAAAGCTTCTGCACAGCAAAGGAAACAGTCAACAAAACAAAGAGGCAACCCACAGAATGGGAGAAGATATTTGCAAATGACACTATAGACAAAACCCTGATTTCCAAGATCTATAAAGAACTTCTCAAACTCAACACCCAAAAAACACGTAATCAAGTCAAAAAATGGAAAGAAGACATGAACAGACACTTCTCCAAAGAAGACATACAAATGGCTAATAGACACATGAAAAAATGTTCATCATCATTAGTCACCAGGGAAATTCAAATCAAAAGCACACTGAGATACCACCTTACACCAGTTAGAATGGCAAAAATTGACAAGGCAGGGAACAACAAATGTTGGAGAGGTTGTGGAGAAAAGGGAACCCTCTTAAACTGTTGGTGGGAATGCAAGTTGGTACAGCCACTTTGGAAAACAGTGTGGAGGTGCCTCAGAAAATTAAAAATAGAGCTACCCTATGACCCAGCAGTTGCACTACTGGGTATTTACCCCAAGACACAGATGTAGTGAAAATAAGGGCCATATGCACCCCAATGTTCATAGTAGCAATGTCCGCAATAGCCAAACTGGAAAGAGCCAAGATGCCCTTCAACAGAGGAATGGATAAAGAAGTTGTGGTCCATATATACAATGGAATATTACTCAACCATCAGAAAGGATGAATACCCAACTTTTACATCCACATGGATGGGACTGGAGGAGATTATGCTAAGTGAAATAAGTCAAGCAGAGAAAGTCAATTATCATATGGTTTCACTTATTTGTGGAATATAAGGAATAGCATGGAGGACATTAGGAGAAGGAAGGGAAAAATGAAGCGGGGGAAATTGGAGGGGGAGACTAACCATAAGACACTATGGACTCAGAGAAACAAAATGAGGGTTTTAGAGGGGAGGGGTTGGGGGAATGGGTTAGCCCAGTATGGGTATTGAGAATGGCACGTATTGCATGGAGCACTGGGTGCTCTACCAAAACAATGAATCATGGAACACTACATCAAAAACTAATGGTTTACTGTATGGTGACTAACATAACATAATAAAATTAAATTAAATTAAAAAAAAGAAACCACAAGTACATGAGAAAGTTATGTAGACCCTCTTTGTCTCACTCCCCTGTTCTGAGACATTGAAATATGAATATGGCCTACCTATTAGTATTACGTTATGAGATTAACAATAATTAAACACAAGGGAAGCCTTAAGAAAAATAAATAAATGGTGTTTCATAATTGACCTAAGTGTTCAATCACTGAATGACTGCAGGAATAAGGTAGACGCTTGGGAGTGGTCGAATCCAGAAGAGGGCATTTGGATGGCTCCACAGCAAGGGAGGATGGAAGCTCACTCTGAGCTTTTCCATGGGAATGATGGTTTACAGCTCATGGACAACACCTGTTACCATCTCCTGTAATCCCCAGGTCAGCCAGATTGACGTGGGTGGGGGCAGAGCAGAGGTTGTAAGCCATATTCTACAGTGGGAGGCACTGAAATGTAGAGAGATTAAGCGACATGCCAGGAGTTACCATACCGATGAGTATGGGGTCTGGGACAGGAATAGAGTTGGTTCCCTGGGGAGAGACATCCCTGAACACCTGAGACCTACCCAGGGCACCTGAGATCATGCCCTAAAGCCCTGAACCAAATCACTTTCTCAAACCCTCCTGCCCCAAATTGTCTGTGGGAGACAGTTGATGCACTGGACGAGGTGCCTGAGCCAACACAAAAGTCCAAATCCTAACTAGGCTTCCAAACTCTAGGTTACAATCCGTGACCCAAAACACAAAGCAATTACCCCCAAGGGAAGCCCCTCTGAAGGGCCAGGGGAAGCCCAACTGTGGCCATCCTCCCCCAGCATTCACATTACCAGCTGTCACACATGGAATCTTCCCAGTGACCAGCTGACCACTTTAGGGACCAGTGAGTGGTCTGTCTGCTCAGCTGCTAAGCTGACTCAGAACCCAGGACATTCGAAACCAACTGTCACATGATGGCTCTGCCAAGAATTAGACTCTTTTTTACTGACCAAACCTGGCTGAGCAGTTAGTGTGAACTAACTGGGAAAGTGGCCACCTGCGCTGGTGCTTTGGTGGTTTAATAAATTGAACCTGTGACCTTCCATGTCTCACTGGTTGTTGATCTGAGCGAGTGTCCAAACAGCCTGGCTAAGGTCTGGCTGACAGCCGGCTGTCGGCTACACTGGCTCTGAGTAGGCACCTTCAATGCTCCTTCCTTCTAATGAGTCACTCAATATCCAGTCTTTACACACTTTTCTCCTTTGCTAGATCCTTAAAGGGCGGGGGACAATGTCCCATCTCCTCTTAGAGAGCCCCCAACCATACACCCACAGCCTGCAGACCCCCACCCCAGGACACTCCCCAGGACCACCAGACATATTTTCCTACTTTCTATTTCATTCAGGAGACCTCTATGCTGATCATTTCCAATCTTTCTGACCTAGCATGGCCCCACTTTAAATCTAAATTTTTCATCTCTAAGCCCACACCATACCCCAGACCTCAAGATTCTTAGGCAGCAATTCCACAGGGTTGTCTCATAACTCAGTCTTAATTTCCAAAGCTGAACACAAAGATAAGAGAACTTCTGGAACCAGACACTTGCTGGAGCAATCTAGAGAGTTGAAGGGAAGGGGGAAATTGTGGATGTCCAGAGCCACCCAAATCAGGAAAACACCAGTGTGGGGAGTACCTGGGCCAGACCCAGACTTCACAGGGTTCCCTTCTAGCAGACTGGGCGTGCACCTGACTCAGCCCAGCTCCCTGCCTGGACCATTCAGGGTTTCTTGACACCATTCAGTGGTGCTGTGGATATAAATGAAGACCAACCAGATGATACCAAGTAAAGGTGATTTATTCAGAACTTGCTAGAGCAAGGAGAGCAAGGGAGTCAGCCATTATCACTTGTATTTGGGCAGAGATTCAAAGGAGCAGAGGAGGGAAATTTTATAGGCCCAGAATGGAAGGCTTCAGGTACGCTCTAACTAGAGCCCCTTGGCATAAGGAAGCTGCAGTCCAGGCCTAGAAGCAGGGCATCCCATGTCATTGTTAGGGCTGTTGTAGCTGCTGGTCCTCAGGTACAAATAGGGAAAAAAATCAGGGACATTCTCAGTTACAAATCATGTCCTGGTCATTCGGGGCCAATTGCTACAGAGGTTATTGGTTAGGCTTCTGGGCTGGATGCTCCAGATGGTGGTCTGACATCTTACAAGTTGAAAGGGAAATCTGTAGATAATGGGTTGGTTTCCTGGGCTGCTGACTTCAGGCCAGAATCCTATTTTTATCTATGGTCAGGGTACTGCCCATTTGTCTCTTCCATTCTCAGTCCCCCATTTGGGTCCTTATCTCACTTGGGAGAGGTTGGCCCACTCCGAGAAGACTAGAGATCACACACTTCACTGCTGGACACGGTCTAGTCATCTTTGGAGTCAACTGTATTGGACGATCTTCTTGACCATGCTTGTGATGCGAGCACATCTGTATGGCTGCATTTAAGACTCCGGATCGAATGCAAAGGGCCAGCACTATGACCACTATGAAAATAAACAAACAAACAAGAACAGGTTAAGAGTCCACATAAGGTGCTTCAAAACCAGGAACCCAACTGCCCAACCCAGGCCAAGAGAACAAATCCCGTAAGGCATGAGGATCCACCTTAAAGCCCAACAGTTTCTTCCTTAAGGCCCTTCATAACCTGTTCTACCTACCATACTTTATGGGTCCAAGCACAAAAAGTGTCAACAATAACACAGATGCCACCATATCCCGCCAACAAGAAATCTCCGGCAATGGTACTGTCCATCACTATGCCGCCAATAGGTTGAGACAGATCCGTATTCCATCTGGGACATAAGCTGTATTATCAGGAACTTTTGCCAACATTAGAGATAGCTTTCCTACAGGCTTTTTTATTTATGCAATTTCCACCAAAGGGAACATTGTTCTAATTTGGGGCATCAATAGTAATTCTTCCAAGTCGTGTGCCTCGATAATCAAAAGCGGCCTCAATTTGGAGTCACATATGAGTTGGAATTTCCAGCCTTGGTGATTCATTTCATTTGATGAGATCTGAATTTCCCAGAGGGATGTCCCTTGTGGTCTGGGAATGGATGGCACACCCAGCAGTCAGACCCACCGAGAGGAATGCCATCGGATATGATCTGGCCTCACAAGGATAATAATTAGTAGAACAATTACAATAAGAAAAAGGGAGTAAAGGGGTCGTTCTGGGTGAATGGCAACAAGGGGTTTATGGAAAATGGGAATTATTTTTACTAGGCAGATACAAAATGAAAAAAGAATTAGATGGGAGTCTTGACCCAATATCTTGTGTGGAAACTGCCCACTATCCATCACAATTCGCCTGTTCTGGAAGTCTTGGGTCAACTACCTGCTTCTGAAGACAGGCTATTTCCAGAGGATCTCTGAGAATCCTCAGTTTGAGGAGCCTTCTAATTTTGTGGAATTCTGACTTTAAAATTTTTTATTTTATTTTATTATTTTATTTTTTTCTTTTCTTTTCTTACTTTATTTTATTTTAGTGGTGAAGTAGGAAGCCAAGGGTGAACTCCCAGGAGTTACACTGCTTTGTTTCTAAACAGTACCTGAGAGGGTCCCTTCCAATGATGCATAAGGGCAGTTTTACTCTGATGTGTCTTCAGGTAGAAAAATCTTCCCACAGTTGAAGATCGTGAAGAGGCTTCTAGGAAGATTTCAGGAACGGTGGCCTCAAGCTGTTGGTGAAAAACTTGGGTAATATTCCAAGAGTTCTTTGCAATATGTGGCCACGTCTGCATGTAGCAGGGTAGTGTAATCTAGTCTGGGTAGTGAAATTCCTAGATATATGGGTCTTCCAGCTACTAATTTAGAGTGGGACAACCAGTGTGTTCCTAAGGGAATCGACTGGACAGCCATCATTGCTAGTGTGCATTTGCAACAAGGGAGCTCACAGGTTTCTGAAAGTTTCGCTAATTTTAATGGAAGGATGAAGATGTTTGGCCCACTTTAAATAGGTTATGTCTTAAATCATGAACTGTGTCTAGCAGAATTGTAATTTGTTTTGAAACTCTAGATTTCTCTCTTGCTAAGGTTGAGAGCAAGTCAATGGAATCCTTTTTAGAGGCTTTTTTATTCTCTGGACCAAGTGGGAGATCATTCACATATTGTATAAGAACTAAGTTACAAGGGAAACTTTTATTTTTTATTTAAGTCTTGATTGAGGACATGGGAAAAGTAGAGAGGCCTTCAGTGAACTCCTGGGCTGTGATTGTCCAGCTATGTCATTGTTCTGTCCAGGAGGGAACAAAAAGGATATACCTTCTGGTCTCTTAGTGAAACAACTTTTGATTCAGAATTTCTTTTGGAGGCCTCAACATATCATCCAACAGGAGCCACCTACTGGGCTTCCTCCTTTCCTAAGACACTTCTCAAATGAACAATTTTGCTCAAATTGGGTTGTCCAGAGTTGGACATGGAGACCCAAATCATCGTTGGTGAAGTTGTGGGGAACAAGAATTAAGATTGTGATAAAAGTACACATGAGAAGCAGACGATTTTTTCTGGAAGAAGAGAGGGCTCAGGTTTAGAGGATTCCCAAGAGAGCTGGTATTGGCTGATAGAAATAGAACATTTGTATATCTCGTGCCTTGAGCCCCCAAAATGACAGCTGGCCACCTCTGAACACAGACCCATCAATCTGGACTCTCCATCCAGTGGAAAACCAGAGAGCATACTCTCAGGACACAATATTGAGATAGTGGGAGAACCTCAACTGGTCTGATTGGTGACCTTCAGCAAAGTTCATCCGGGTGGACGACAGTCCGGTGAGATCATCAAACTCCCTGGTCTGTGAGGCTGGCTCAGACAAGATTCACAAGGGCCTATTCGTGGTTCTATGCCCTGATTCTTCTTCTTATGACACACAAAAGTTTTACACAGCTCCACACAGAATTGTAACCCAAAGGACAGCAGAAGGGGACAAAAAGGAATGGTCTGAGTCCACCAAGGAGACCTAGCAAATGGGAACCAAAAACAAGGCCCAGGTGCCAGACTGAATATAAACAGCCTAGGAACTCACTCCAAGAGGGCAGATTTCAGATGCAATGCTCACTCACCGTGTCCTCATGGACTCCAGAAGCTGCAAAGCAGCAAGGCCCACGCGGCCTCTGTGGGCACCACCTGGGATGGAAAGCTTTGGTTTTCAAGGACCAGGCAGCTCAGATGGGGTCTTGGTGGGACTTCTTGGATGACCTGTCCAATAAACAAAGGCCAGCCAAATGAGAACAAGCAAAGAATATTTATTTGGAGAGGCTCTAGTGAGCTGTCTAGAAGGGAGGCATCTTATGTGGTTGTTAGGGGTGCATACTTGGTTGTTTTCTGGTGGCCGGTCCTAGGTTGGAAATGGGGATAAGAGTTAGTTAGGGAAGCTCTCAGATATAATTATGACCATTTGGGGCCAATTGTTACAAGGGTTACGGTGCAGATTCCTGAGCAAGTTGTTACATACAGCAGCCAACCTTCTTACAAGTCTGACATATGTAGTGGGCCTGCTTGCTTGGCGGACACCAAGGTAATGGGTTGCTTCCTGGAATGGTTGTGGGTCAGAAAATTATCTTCACATATGGTCTGGCTATGGTCCATTTCTACATGCAGTTTTTCATGCAGACTGGGGACCAGAAACCAGGAAAATGCTGAGGAAGTGGTTGAGCAGGGCTGAAAAGAGCGATTATAGATTTGAAGATCCAAGGACATCAAGTGCCTGGATGAGCCCAGGTCCTGCACGATGGGAATCATAAAAAGGAAGAAAGAGGAAATTAGCCAAAGCTCCAAAAAGGAGCTTATTAGTAAGAGAGAGGATAGGGGTGTGGTGGCTCAGGTGGTTAAGCGTGTGACTCGTGATTTTGGCTCAGGTCATGATCTCAGGGTCCTGGGATCCAGTCCCATGTCAGGCTCTGCACCCAGAGGGGATTCTGTTTGGGATTCTCTCTCCGTCTTCCTCCACCCCTCCTCCACTGTCACAATCTCATTCTCTCTCGCAATAAAATAAATAAATCCTTATCAAAAAAAGAGAAAGAGTATAGAAAAGATGAAAGAGGAAATAAATTACATACGGATTGTGGACCTCTTGGTCAGAATTCTCGCAGTCTCCAAAATAGTCTTCTTTGTGGACTGTGACGTGGATGGTGTTGACCTTGTCTTGGGAAAAGAAAGGGGTCGGTCAGGGTGACGTGGGGACTCAGGCCACTGCTTCTGGGATTATGTCCCTGACCCCAAAACTCAATTCTGTCCTCAGCTCTGCAGGCCCCCCACCTCACCACCCCCGGGACTGTGATCCCTTTACTTCACTGTTAAGAAGGCGTCCAGGGTCTCTGGGCCGTTCCCAGCCCTCAGATTTCGTAACTGAGTCCAGGAAGCAATGCCTGTCATCTCACTCTTTCAAGAGGCAGCCACGGTGGTGCCTATGACTTTCTGTCCCCATGATTTCCTACCTCCTTCTGCTCCCTCCTGCTACCCTTCCTTATCTCTCCTTTAATCATGAATTTCTTATTTCCCTTCTTCTGTCACCTCCAACAACCAGATTGTTCTCTGAAATGGGAACAGGAGAGGAATGATCATGGGTTTACTGCCACCCTTCCTAGTCAATCAGCTGATCAATGAGCCAATGCAGCGAACATGGAGGTGGCTGCCACGGGCCTGGGGTTGCCCTGGGCTGTGAGAATGACAGCCAGCTGGGCACTCAAGTGACTGCCTTGTACTTGGGCTAATCTTAGGCGCCTGAGACACACTTACTATTTATTACAGCCCATAAGTGTCCTCACTCAGAGAGGAGATGAATGTGATGGTAGAGGTAAAGTTACTTGTCCAAATTCCCCTAGACTGTCAGTGGGGTGAGGGGGTTCTACAGGAGGTGTGCCCACATACACACCAGTGCCTGCCAGCATTCACCCTGAGCCCCCGAGCCCTTCAAGGACTGGGGGAGGCCCTGAGCAGCTTGATGGAGAGTCCGAGGGTGGTCTGTGACCATGATGTGGGGAACAGGCCCATCGCTGTGTGGCTGGAGCAGCGGGATCAGACAGGAGCAGAGACCCTGGCCCCGCTTCCCAGAGCCTCTGTCCTGGGCCTGGTTGCTCCCAGGAGCTCAGCTCGGCGGGACCGTGAGAACCAGTGTGTGTGGCCAGCCCAGCAGCCTTCACGCAGGCCTCTAGAATTCCCACTGGCCAGGGAGGGTCTTTGGGCGGCCGCACGTGGGCCTCTCTCCCATGGAGCCCAGTGCAGGGTTTATTCTGGTCCCAGGATCATGGATTTGGGCGAGGAGAGAAATGTGCTCCAGGGCATGTCTCCCACCTCACTTCTGCAGCAGGACCCCGGAGCATATGGAAGAGGCTGAGTGGGAACATTCTCTGGACTGCTTATGCCCAGAGCACCCTTTCAGTCAGGGGCAGGCCTGAGGGCGGCCCCTGCAGGTGCTGCTCCATGAACCGAAGCTGCAGACGGAGAGGGTCACCAGCTCTCCCTGCACCTGGCTCACACGGAAGCGCTCTGTTTGCCAGTTCACATGTGCAGGAGAGAGCTGTGTCTCAAGAGATTGCCTCCATCCCAGGTCGATGCCAAAAACCCAAACCAAATCTCTCCTGCTCTATTCCCAAGAGATGCCAAGCAAACCTAACCAGAGGCTTTGATGTTTGGCAGTGACACAGGCAGCCAGACCTGGTCTACCGGGAAGGATAATCTTAAATATCAAATAAGAAAAGATGATTGCAAACAGAGCACCTTCAAAGCCCAGAGGCAGAAGACTTCTTAATATTATTTCTTTTTTTTTTTTAAGGTTTTATTTATTTATTTGATAGAGAGAGACATAGTGAGAGCAGGAACAAGCAGGGGGAGTGGGAGAGGGAGAAGCAGGCTTCCCGCGGAGCAGGGAGCCCGACGCGGGACTCGATCCCAGGACCCTGGGATCATGACCTGAGCCGAAGGCAGACGCTTAACGACTGAGCCACCCAGGCGCCCCCTTAATATTATTTCAAAAGAACCTACTAGTATATGAACAGAACAAAACAGGGGCACCAGGGTGGCTCAGTCGTTTAAACGTCTGCCTTCAGCTGGGTTCCTGATCCCTGGGATCAGGCCTGCATTAGGCTCCCTACTCAGTGTGGAGTCACCTTCTCCCTCCCCCTCTGCCCCTCCCCACCAATCATTCTCTCTCCTAATAAATAAAATCATTTAAAGACCGAAAAATGAGAAAGGAACACTTCTATTCTTATACTTCTTTGTCTTTCTGATGTCCTACCTCCCACTCTCGATCTACAAAGCAGCAGGTACAACCTGACTGCTCCCAGGAACCCTCTCCCATTGATTCCTGAGTGGAGTTCCCTACCTGAAGAGGTTTCGTCATCAGTGTAGATTTCAAGGCTCTCGACAACCCAATCTTTAGAGACACAAGCATGAGCAGCAGGTTATTAGAGAGAGGGGCTCCCCTGTTCCTGCTCCTCGAGCTGAGGCCAGGCTGGCTCACCCAGCGTCATCAGCTCTTCCTCCAGGTCCTCAAACCTTCCTTGGGCTCCTTGGAGACAGAGCCCTTCAACAAGACCTTGACACAGTTGCAAACCTTCAATGAGAGAAAGGATCCCCCTACACATGGCACTTCCCTATCTCCACGGGATCATGAGAGCTCTCACGTGCACAGGGATCAACCTGAGATCCCAACTGGGACGGACACACATCGGGGTAGTTGGGGTCTGTGAGCAGCCCCTCTGCCAGGCCCACAGCAGCTGCCCAGGAGAGCTGTCTCTGAGGCTGGGAGTGTTCTGTGTTGTCAACATGCACTACCGGGCACCAGAAATGTGGCAGGTGTGACGAGGGATGGGAATGTTCTGCTTTATTTACTTTAATTAACTGAAACGTGAGCAGGCATGTCTACCTAGAGGCAGGGACACTTCACTGTCCTTAGGAGCCTACCTTCTCTTTCTGATCCCGACTAGAGCCTGGGCAGGCACTTAGATTAGTGTGGGGCCCAATAGGCCCAGACAAGCTGAAGCAGGGCGTTTCTACCCATGAACTAGATCCTAGCCCAGGGGTGTAACAAGAGGGGCTGCTCAGAGCTGAGCATTTGGGGGACAAGGAATGAGGTGCCCTTGCACTGACTACCCAGGGCCAGGGTTCCTGTCCCCATGAGCGGGAGGACACAAATAGAGTTTGGGTTTGAGAATTCTCACACCGTTTCAGAGATACTCTCAAACTGATGTCCTCTGGGCCATAAAAGGGAGCAGCAAGGAGCACCTTGACCTTTGGATCACCTCCCTTCACTTTGCTGAGCTCACCGTGCACTGGAGTCTGTGCCCCTCTCACCTCCTGTGCAACTAGAATGTTCTACAGTTGCCCTGGCCACATGGTGTGAGATTGCCTCAGTTTAAATGTGTGTGCAGGCCAGACAACCCCTGGCCCACGGCGTGTAGACAAGGACTGGTTGTCAGGGACTCCCAGAAGCAGGTGAAAAGTAAAAACAGGTCCCTTTGGGCCCCAGGTGGATCAGTCTGGGAACCTCCTTGTGTCTGGCCTGGTCCTGGTTGCATCCCCACTGATGTGTCCTGGGTGGGAAAACAGGAGACCTGACTCCATTCTCTGCCTCCCCCCAATTTCCATGAAGGAAAGTGCCTGGTCTGTCGCACAGGTAGCTGGAGAAGAGGCTGGAACAGGAAGCAAGCCCCTCTCTCCAGGCTTTTAGGAAGATGTCCATCCAGGGCTCAATCCAGCCATGATGGCATGACCAGCCTCATCCCTGCTCAGAAGGAGCCCAAATGTCAGTGTGGGCAAGTCTGGGCCCAGGTGGTGATGCTGTACTGATTCACCTAATCTTGCAACCTTGGCATCCCTGCCCACTCTCCCATGGCCTGGGTGTCCTTTATGCCTTCCCTCTGCCCCCACCCCCACCCCCGCCCCGCAGATCTTCACTCTGAAAATCTAGTCCAAGATTCTGGATCATGCCCTCACCCTTTAATGCTGAAGTACCTGACGGAGCCAAGACTCTTAGAGCCTAGCTGCTGGTTTCACTTCTGCCTCGTTTACACCCAGCAGGTATTCCCTTCCACAGGACCCCGGGACTATGATCTAGAGATAAAGGATTTCTAGAACCTGGAGACTTCCTACTTCTCAGATTCTCTCCAGAACTGGGCATGGCCTGCATCTGCCCTTTGGGCCACTTGCCCCAACTCTCCTGTTAAGACAGGGAGGATTCTTTCTCAGGCTTCTTTCATCAAAAGGGTTTGGGAACAGAGGAGGGGCAGGTGAGAGGTATCAGTCAGGGAAATATCCCTTTAATGCTGAAGTCTCTGACGGAGCAAGGACTCTGGGATTGGGGCTGGCGAGCGCCCCACACAGGGAAATCAGGAACAAGCCAGAAAAGTATTACTGATGCCAAACTTGGTGTCGAGATTTAGGGTGTTCCTCCAGAAGTAGAGAGGTGGGAAAAGGTGCATGGGACTTGGGGTGAAAGGGCCTCATCTCAGCGCAAGGCTCCCCAAACACAGGCCGTACGACGCCTCTGTCATTCAGCACCCTCTCCAGCCTCCCTTTTCTCTGAGGCCCACTGAATACCACATGGCTCCTCTTCTTTAGTCCTGATTGGTCCCACTGCCTGCTCAGAGGTGAGACCCATCATTAACCAGTGTCATTCATGACAGACTCACGGGGATTCTGAAAACATATTTTCCTTTCAGAACCCTGGGAACATTTTCCTGTGTAGTAATGGGATTTTTTTCAGATGAAACGAGGTACATTTGGCATACAATACACTACACATATTTAAATCCTACAATTCCGTAAGTGCTGACGTACATACACACCCATGAGGAGAGCTGAGGAGATTTTCTTCTCTTTTTTTTTCTAAATGGCAAAGTTCACACTGGTAAGTGTGCCATTTTGGGAGACATAAATCCTGGGAGACACACACACACACGCACAAAACCACACGCCCACTCAGAATCCCACCTCGACACTTCACACGCAGACACACCCCACCACCACAAACACAAACATGCTACCTGAATGCGGCACAGCCACTTAGAAAAACATAACCGTGGTTCTCCATGTGCAAAACCCTTTTTTTCACCACACTTCTGATCCTCATTCCAGTGGGAACCCAGAATCTGAATGGCGCTCCTGACCAAAGACAGCAAGAGACTGATTCCAAAATACGTACCGCTTTCATTTGTTACTGACACCACCTGCAGTTACAGAAAAGAGGACACCATGAGGCTCAGGTCATGCTGTACACTGTCTGCGTGAGCTTTAGTTCTCTCAGTGACTTTAGGAGACTAGGTGGACCCCTGTGTTTGAGTCCAAGGCCCCCAAAGTAAGTGACCTGGATGCCTGTAGGAAGTTGTTTTTCCTGGGGGATGTGTCTGTCCAGTCCATTCAGGATGGCGACTTCAAAAGTCTTCATCCAAGCAGGAGAAACTGTGGCTGAGGGCAAGGATCCTACCACAGCGATTATAACCAGGTTTGGTGTGGCCAGTGGTAAATGTCCTCTTGAATCAGCTAATGGCTGGCAAGAGACAACCACTCAGCACTCTTCCCAACAGGGAAATTATATATATATCTCATATGGATATATATATATATATGTTTTCCATAAAATTAGTATAAAAGTAATTTTATTTCCATATACAAGCAGTTTACATTAAGAAAATTAATTTTGTTATTATTATGTTCAATTGGCCAACATATAGTATATTGTCTGATTTTCATCTGCATTTGATTGTAAAGAAACCAAGAAAGCAACATTTGTTCCTCGGGTAAAGACAGGCAAGCTCACCTTGGCAATCCACAGGTCCTCCTCATCCGGGATACTCTTCTGCAGCCATGCCCAAACTGCACAGTTGTCAGGAACATCTAGAAGGACACAGAGTATCTGTCAGCACATTGGTGGTGCTGCTCAAGAATAACTTGGGGAGGGGCACCTGGGTGGCTCAGTTGGTTAAGCGACTGCCTTCGGCTCAGGTCATGATCCTGGAGTCCCGGGATCGAGTCCCGCATCGGGCTCCCTGCTCTGCAGGGAGTCTGCTTCTCCCTCTGACCCTCCCCCCCTCATGCTCTCTCTCTCTCAAATAAATAAATAAAATCTTAAAAAAAAAAAAAAATAACTTGGGGAGGGGCGCCTGATTGGCTCAGTCGGTTAAGCATCTACCTTCAGCTCAGTTCATGATCTCAGGTTCCTGGGATTGACCCCCGTGTGGGGCTCCCTGCTCAACGAGGGTCTGCTTTCCTCTCTCCATCTGCCCCTCCCACCTGTTTGTGCTCTTTCTCTCTCTCTCAAATCAATAAATAAAATCTAAAAAAAAAAGGAATGAGTAACTCGGGGAGTATTGCTAGGTATCAATGGGGGTCAAAGAATATGGCAGCATTTGCTTGCCAGGCATGGGCTGAACTGCCACCGTTGGGCCTCCAGTGGTAATAGGGCTATAATGTTTGCCCTGTGATGAGATTTTTTTTTTGTTTTTTTTTTTTTGAGAATGTTGACATTGGCCATTGTGCAGTGGCAGTAGGATATATCTCCTGGAGAAATATGCAATCTCTCTCTCACTCTTTCCATCTCTCCCTCTCCCTCTCCGTCTCTCTCTGTCTCTCTGTGTCTTTCTTTGTCTGTCTTGCTCTCTGCCTCTCCCTTTCTCCCACACAAACACACACACTCACAATCACACTACATAGAGCCACAGAAGACACCCCAACCCGAAGCCTCATGCACACACAACCACACCACCCACAGGGAATACATCGGCTTCCTAGTACTGTAGACACATGGACATACTTTTTCACCCGGGAAATCTGCCTGTCCCCCACACCCACAAAGGTCCTACCAGGAAACTGGAATCAGGGCGGCTCTCCGGACTGAAGATTGCAAGGATGCCCCACCTGCCTTACCATCTAGAGTTTTTTCACAGGAAGAGACTGATTCCAGAATACGTACTGTTCTCGTTCACTCCTGAAGTTCCTGTAAGCTGCAGTTACAGAAAAGAGGACACCATGAGGCTCAGGGCATGCTGTACACTATCTGTCTGCACTGATCCTGAGTTCTCTTAACGACTTTAGGAAACCAGATGGACCCCAGTGTTTGAGTCCAAGGCCCCCAAAGTATGGGAACTGGATGCCTATAGGAAGTTGTTTTTCCTGGGGTACGTGTCTGTCCAGTCCATTCAAGATGGCGACTACAAAATTTTTTACCCAAGCAAGAGAAACTGTTGCTGACGGAATGGATCCTACCACGGCGTTTTTAACCAGGTTTGGTGTTGCCAATGGTAAATGTCCTCTCAAATCAGCTAATGGTTGGCAAGAGACAACCACTCAGCACTCTCACTATAAGGGAAATTATATATAAATATATATGTATATTTATATCATCTCAAGTATACAGTGTCCAATTTTCATCTGCATTTGATTGGAAAGAAACAAAGAAAGCAACATTTGTTCCTTGGGCAAAGAACGTCAGGCTCACTGTGGCCAGAGATGCGTCTTCATCAATGCTAACTCCAGGTGTCTCAAGCGTTTCTTCCGTGAGATCTAGGACACAGAGTAACTGTCAGCACATTGGTGGTATTGCTCAAGAATAAGTCGGGGAGTGTTGCTTGATATGGACATGAGGCTAGAGTGTATGGAGCCAGTTGGTTACCAAGCATGGACTGAAGTGCCAATGTTGGGCCACCCACAGAAATAAGACTGTGAAGTGCACGGTGTGATAAAATTGTTTTGAGAAAGTTGACATAATGCAGTATATATCTGACATCTCTCCTGGAGAAACCCATTTATTTCTCTCTCTTTGTCTTTCTTAGTCTCTCTCTTTCTGTCTCTGTCTCTGTCTCTCTCTCTCACACACACACACACAGGCTCACAATCACCCAACATAGAGCCACACAGGACACCTAAACCCCAAGCCTCATACACACCCCCCCACACCACCCACAGGGAATAAATTGGCTTTCTAGTATTGTAGAAACATGGACATAGTTTCTCACCTGGGAAATCTGCCTTTCCCCCACACCCCTAAGCCTCGGTCCTACCAGGAATCTGGAATCAGGGTGGCTCTCCAGACTGAGGACAGCAAGGATGCCCCACCTGCCTTACCATGTAGAGTTTTTCCTCAGCAAGAGACTGATTCCAGAATACGTACCACTAGTGCTTGTTCCTGGGGCCACCTGCATCTACAGAAAAGAAAACACAATGAAGGTCAGACCCTATGTGTACTGTGTCAATGGTTCTCTTGGTGACTATTGAAAACCCAATGAGAAATAGTAGTAAAGACAAAGGCCCCCAAAGCAAAGCACAGAGTGCACCCATGGAAAAGCCATGAGCTTTTCCTGGGGGGATAGATCTCTCAAGTTCACTGAAGCAGCAATGACAAATCTCTTAATTCATGGAGGAAAAACTGCTTCTGAGGAAAACGTCCCCTACCACACAGTTTACAACCGCCCCTTCCAACACCCCAAGAAAAGGGTACCTAACATCTAAGAAACACACGTTGTCCTATTTGAAGTCACTTCAAAAAGAGGAAAACCAAGAAAGAAACATTTCTCTCTCAGGCAAAGACAGGCAAGCTTACCCAAGAAGTCAGTTTTTCCTTGCCAAGCTTCTTGACCACAATGCTGTCAGGATCTAAGAGGACACAGAGTACCGGTCAGTCCATTGGTGTTGCTGCTCAGGGATTACTGTGCGATCACTGTTGAGATGGATATGGGGCAAGCCTGTACGGGAGGGACTGATTCGTAAGCATGGACTGAGCTGCTGTTGGGCCATCCTCCTTGGTGGATGAGGAAAAGCAAACAAGAGGAAGAGGAAACGAAGGAGAAACAGAGCCTTTGACTTTCTAGCTTAAGGCAACCTAGTCGATGTGAGTCAGTTAGTCTACAAATAGGTAGCCTGAATGCAAACTGTGGTGTAGTGAGGCAGCCCACCCCTCCCTCGGCCCGTTGTGAGGTCTCTTTATTTGTCCTGCCAGGAGGAAGTTCCTCCAACTGGCCATCCAAACGGAAGACAGACTAGGAGACACAGAGTCACTTCCAGCCCTTGGTCGTCTATCTCATGAATTACTCAGAGAGCTCTGCTTGACTTGAAGGAGAGACCAGTGTCGATGGATGTGGTTGGTTCAAAAGCACGCAGTTGCCAATGGCAAGATTTGATTCCTTCTGATGGTTGAGTATATCTATATAAGAAACGGAGGGCTGCTGAAGGGGGGTTGGTTATGGATGTGGTTGGTTAAAAAGTACGCAATTGCCAGTGGCAAGATTTGATTTCTTCAATGGTTGAGTAATGTTCCAGTGTATCTATATAACAAACAGAGGGCTGGTGAAGGGGGTCATGGGGTAATTGGGTGATGGGCCTTAAGGAGGGCACTTGATGGAATGAGCACAGGGTGTTATATGCAACAGATGAATCACTAAATTCTACCCCTGAAACTAATACTACAGTATATGTTACCTAATTTGAATTTAAATTTAAAAAAAAAGCATGCTGTTGGCTATCGGTGAGCCACCCTTCTTCATGGAAGGAGATGCGAAGAGGAGCAGAAAAGAAGGGAGAACAGAGTCTTGGCTTTGCCATTGAAGACAAAGGTACACCTCAAACTTAACTCGACTTCAATTAATAAATAATAATGAGGAGGAGGAGCAAGATGGCAGAGGAGTAGGAGACCTGGATTTCGTCTGGTCCCAGGAATTCAGCTAGATAGGGATCAAACCATTCTGAACACCTATGAACTCAACAGGAGATCGAAGAAAAGAATAGCAGCAACTCTCTGAACAGAAAAGCGACCACTTTCTGGAAGGTAGGATGTGCGGAGAAGTGAATCTGAGGCGATATTCGGGAGGATAGACGGCGGGGGAGGGGTCTCCGTCGGCCGCTTCTGGGAAGTGATAGAGCAGCGGAGCACAAAATCGGAACTTTTAGAAGTCTGCTCCGCTGAGGGATGTCACTCCGGTGGCTAAGCGGGGGGTGGAACCCTGCTGAAAGAGAGTTGGTTGTTTCCACTTTATGCTTATTACAAAAAAAGTGTTATAAACAATGTTGTGCAGGTTTTCGTAGGGAGCCTTTTCTCTATCAAAAGAAAAACGTCCAGGAGTGTGGTGGCTGGTTTGTAATACATGGGAAATTAGTGGGGAAATATTTGGAAGTTTGAAGAACTTCCATGATGGTTTGTGTTTGTATCACAGGAATGTTAGTCACAAGCCCCACTTTGCTTAAAGTCCGATCACATTTTCTCCCCCCTGCCTTTTTTTTTTGTTTTTTGTCTTTTTTTTGTTCTTTTTTAATTACTCCTCTTTCTTTTATCAACCAACTTCTTATCTTATCAATTCCTTTTATAAAATCTTTTATAATTTTCACCTTTGCAGTCATATTCCATCCCTTCATTGTATTTATCCTTATTTTTGTACATATATAAATTTTTCTTTCTTTAAAATTTTGGGAGGCAGTTTCTTCTAACAGACCAAAATACACCCAAAAATCTAGTGTGTGGCACTCATCTATTCACCAGCCTGATCATATTTGATTATATTCTTTTTTTTTTCTTCCTTTCCCTTTATTTTTCCCCCCGGTTTCAGATCTCTTCTGATTTCTTTAGTGTATATTTTTCTGGAGTCATTGTTACCCTGTTAGCATTTTGTTCTCTCATTCATCTATTCTCCTCTGGACAAAATGACAAGATGGAAAAACACCTCAAAAAAAAGAACAAGAGGCAGTACCGACTGCCAGGGACCTAATCAATAGGGACATTAGTAAGATGTCAGAACTAGAGTTCAGAATGACGATTATAAAGATACTAGCTGGGCTTTAAAAAAGCATGGAAGATACTAGAGAAACCCTTTCTGGAGAAATAAAAGAACTTAAATCTAACCAAGTCAAAATCAAAAAGGCTATTAATGAGGTGCAATAAAAAATGGAGGCTCTAACTGCTAGGATAAATGAGGCAGAAGAGAGAATGAGTCATATAGAAGACCAAATGATGGAGAATAAAGAAACTGAGAAAAAGAGAGATACACAGCTACTGGATCACGAGGGCAGAATTCGAGAGAGAAGTGATACCATAAGATGAAACAATATTGGAACAATTGGGATCCCAGAAGAAGAAGAAAGAGAGAGAGGGGCAGAAGGTATATTGGAGCATATTATAGCAGAGAACTTCCCTAATTTGGGAAAGGAAACAGGCATCAAAATCCAGGAGGCACAGAGAACCCCCCTCAAAATCAATAAAAATAGGTCAATACCCCGATATCTAATAGTAAAACTTACAAGTCTCAGAGACAAAGAGGAAATCCTGAAAGCAGCTCAGGACAAAAGGTCGGTAACCTACAAGGTAGAAACATTAGATTGGCAGCAGACCTATCCACAGAGACCTGGCAGGCCAGAAAGGACTGGCATGATATCGTGAGAGCACTAAACGAGAAAAATACACAGCCAAGAATACTATATCCAGCTTGGCTGTCATTGAAAATAGAAGGAGAAATAAAAAGCTTCCACGACAAACAAAAACTAAAGGAATTTGCAAACATGAAATCAGCCCTACAAGAAATATTGAAAGGGGTCCTCTAAGCAAAGAGAGAGCCTAAAAGTAACATAGACCAGAAAGGAACAGAGACAATATACAGTAACAGTCACCTCCCAGGCAATACAATGGCACTAAAGTCGTATCTTTCCATAGTTACCCTGAATGTAAATGGGCTGAATGCCCCAATCAAAAGACACAGGGTATCAGATTGGATACAAAAACAAGACCCATCGATATGCTGCCTGCAAAGACTCATTTTAGACCCAAAGACACCTCCAGATTGAAAGTGAGGGGGTGGAAAACCATTTACCATGCTAATGGACATCAAAAGAAAGCTGGGGTGGCAATCTTATATCAGACAAATTAGATTTTAAACCAAAGAGTATAATGAGAGATGAGGAAGGACACTATATCCTACATAAAGGGTCTATCCAACAGGAAGATCTAACAATTGTAAATATCTATGCCTCTAACATGGGAGCAGCCAATTCTATAAGCCAAGTAATAACAAAATCAAAGAAACACATTGACAACAATCCAATAATAGTAGGGGACTTTTAACACCCCCCTCACTGAAATGGACAGATCATCTAAGCAAAAGATCAACAAGGAAATAAAGGCTTAAAATGACACACTGGACCCAATGGACTTCACAGATATATTCAGAACATTCCATCCCAAAGCAACAGAATGCACATTCTTCTCTAGTGCCCATGGAACATTCTCCAGAATAGATCACATCCTAGGTCACAAATCAGGTCTCAACCAGTGGCGTGAGCCTGCGAGCCAAGCTACTCATGCTGTTTGACAAAGTCCAAGTATGGGGGATGATCCTGAAAACAGGAGACTCCACAGCTGGCTCCTGCTATTCTCTTTCATTTTGTTTATGGCAATCTTTATAATTGTGGGAATATTTCTGGGCTGGCTCCTGCTATTCTTTTTTATTTTATTTATGGCAATCTTTATAATTGTGGGAATATTTCTGGTGTTTCATGATAAAGTGACTACTCACCTTAGTTACGCCTATCTAAGCAATCATAATGAAACTAATTCCATGAAGAATAACAAAATGGTCACGCTCTGTCTAGCACCTTTCTCTTTGCGTACTGTTTTTTAGTTTTAGCGAAAGCCAATAAGCAGAAATCAATAAAGGTCATGTTAATCATTACAAAGGAAAAATGAAAGAAGGCTATGGCTGTAATCCAGAAAATGATCTAAGATTTGGAAAAACAAAAATATCCTAACATATAAATAAAGTTCCTCCGAGGCTGTCAGGAGGAGATGCTTGCAACCTGACCCTGTGTCTGTGTCTCCTCATTCGGCGACGCCGTCCTTTCCTACGAGAGACCCACCCTGGCTGGAGCTGGACTCCAGCAAACCAGTACCAAAAATTGGGATCATTCCCTGCATGTTTTCAGACCACAATGCTTTGAAACTAGAACTCAATCACAAGAGCAAAGTCAGAAAGAACTCAAATACATGGAGGCTAAAGAGCATCCTACTAAAGGATGAATGGGTCAACCAGGAAATTAAAGAAGAATTAAAAATATTCATGGAAACAAATGAAAATGAAAACACAACTGCCCAAAATCTTTGGGATGCAGCAAAGGCGGTCCTAAGAGGAAAGTATATAGCAATACAAGCCTTTCTCAAGAAACAAGAAAGGCCTCAAATACACAACCTAACCCTACACCTAAAGGAGCTGGAGAAAGAACAGCAAATAAAGCCTAAACCCAGCCAGAGAAGAGAAATAATAAAGAACAGAGCAGAAATCAATGAAATAGAAATCAAAAGAACAGTAGAACAGATCAATGAAACTAGGAGCTGGTTCTTGGAAAGAATTAATACGATTGATAAACCCTTGGCCAGACTTATCAAAAAGAAAAGAGAAATGACCCAAACAAATAAAATTATGAATGAAAGAGGAGAGATCACAACCAACGCCAAAGAAATACAAACAATTATAAGAACATATTATAAGCAACTATATGCCAGCAAATTAGATATTATGGAAGAAATGGATGCATTCCTAGAGACGTATAAACTACCAAAACTGAACCAGGAAGAAATAAAAAACTTGAACAGACCCATAACCACTAACGAAATTGAAGCA